TTGTCATTCCTAGCAACAATGGGTAGCAGATTATTTAACCTGGAGAAAGAAGGCATTAAAAATTCCTGAAATTAAGCAAAGTTGATAGACATCATGATGCTTTTTCAGTGTTGGTGTTTATCGGTTCTTGATATTTTTAAACCTTTTTTCCTTTCTGTTGACTTTTTGTCTTTTTAATAAAAAGAGAAAGTTTAATTGTAGGTTTTCATGGAACCTGTTAAAAATTGGGGAGCCTTTGTGTTATGACTTGAAAAAAATTTCAGTATTTCTTATCTGTGCTTGAGGAGGGTTAACAAATTGTTAAGTGAAGCTGAGGAAAGGGAAAGTGTCTACCAAAAATTTACCTGACATATTATGCATCTGAGATGCCTAACTTACTGCATCTATAGTCAGTCACCATTCTCTGGCCCCAACCACGCGGAGGGAAGAGGAACTCTAGGAGCTACGGGGGCAGCTGCCCAGAACCTGAGGCGCGCGCCCCGGAGCTGCCAGCCCCGCCGAGGTGCCGCTGCCGCCGCCACCTCCCTTCGGGCCGCTGATTGGCGGGGACCACAGCATCAGCAGCATCTCCGTGCGAGGGGAGGGCGGCGAGACTAGCAGCTCCAGCCGCCAGGATCTTCAGCTCCCTCCTGGGCGAGACCTCGGACCGTCACTGCCAGCAGCCGCTTCTCCGCCCGCCACCGCCTCCTTGAGCCCCCCTCCAGAAAAGTGGAGGTCCCAGCAGCCGGGGAAGCCACGTCTCCCGCGGGCCGGCTCAGGGAGACGGGGGCCAGAGTCTCCGGGTCCTGCGGCGCCAATCCGGCCCCTGGCCCGCTGGCCCCGGAACCGCCGAGGTCGCCGCGCCCCAGCCGCCAAGACGCCGCGTATCTTGTACCGCGGGAAAAGCGGGTCCTCGTCCAAGATGGGCCGGCAGGGCTTGGGGGGAGCCGGCGCCGCAGGACGCTCCATGCAGCGCTCCCAGAGCCGGAGCAGCCTCTCTGCTTCTTTCGAGGCACTGGCCGGCTACTTTCCCTGCATGAACTCTCTGGAGGAGGAAGAAGGAGGTGAGACACCCATGCCCCGTAGCTGGTGTCTCTGTTTAGGTCTCGGGAGTCGGTGGCCGGAGGGTTGGCAGGGGCAGAGAGAATGCCACCACAGAGCAGTGCCCTAACCCCTCCGCTCTTTCACGGGGCGAGAGACCCCTAGAGCGCGCAACCTGCTCAGAGTTCTGTTCATTGGGTTTTTTGGAGAGCTCCGCAGGCACCGACTTGGGAAACAGCTCTCCTGGTGAAGCTGAGTTAGCAAGTGCTTGGAAGTTGAAAGAGGGTGTAGACTGGCGGGAGGCAAGGCAGCGCCCCTTGGGTCCACCCCACTCTGGGTATTAGCGTTTGGCCTCAAGGATGGAAATACTTGAAAACTAAAGGGAAATGCAGCAGCAAAACTTTGAAACAGGAATCTCGCCGCCGGTGGGGAACCTGCGGCCTTGGGGCCACTTGTGGCCTTCTGGATCCTTGAGTTCGGCCTTTTGACTGAATCCAAATTTCGTTTGGATTCCGTCGAGTGATCTGGAGGGCCACAAGTGGCCTTGAGGCCTAGGTGCCCCACGCCTGCGAGGGTTGATAGTTCTAAAGGCGAGTTTGTGCTGTGAACACTTGGAACTTTGTTCACAAGGCGCGATACTATGACTCTATTGGTGTCTGTCTCTGATGTTTGAGAAATTCCATTGTATTTAAGTTAATGAAAAAAATCGGGAGGAGAACTCGCTCTTTTAAACTTGTCACCAAGTGGTTTGGAGTCCTTCATAAAGTTTTGAATAACAGAACTTATATTTTATTCAAGAACTTTGCTATAAGATTTAACAACAAACACTGAAAATATAATTTATAAACCAAAGTGAGAATTGACTGGTAAATTATAGCCTCCCAGTATTTGAAATACCATTTATTAATTTATTGATATGCTAGTTGCAAACTGTTCATCTTTAGACATATATCCAGAGTAAGTTATCGTGATGTTAACTCTATTGTGTATAATAAGATTTGTTTTGC